CACGCGCACACGCGCACACGCGCACACGCGCGCACGCGCGCACGCGCACACGCGCACACGCGCACACGCGCACACGCGCACACGCGCACACGCGCACACGCGCACACGCGCACACACGCACACACGCGCACACGCGCACACGCGCAACACGCGCACACGCGCACACGCGCACACGCGCACACGCGCACACGCGCACACGCGCACACGCGCACACGCGCACACGCGCACACGCGCACACGCGCACACGCGCACACGCGCACACGCGCACACGCGCACACGCGCACGCGCGCACGCGCGCACACGCGCACACGCGCACACGCGCACACGCGCACACGCGCACACGCGCACACGCGCACGCGCGCACACGCGCACACGCGCACACGCGCACACGCGCACACGCGCACACGCGCACACGCGCACACGCGCACACGCGCACACGCGCACACGCGCACACGCGCACACGCGCACACGCGCACACGCGCACACGCGCACACGCGCACACGCGCACACGCGCACACGCGCACACGCGCACACGCGCACAAGCGCACACGCGCACACGCGCACACGCGCACACGCGCACACGCGCACACGCGCACACGCGCACACGCACACGCACACGCACACGCACACGCACACGCACACGCACACGCACACGCACACGCACGCACACCGCACACGCACACGCACACGCACACGCACACGCACACGCACACGCACACGCACACGCACACGCACACGCACACGCACACGCACACGCACACGCACACGCACACGCACACGCACACGCACACGCACACGCACACGCACACGCACACGCACACGCACACGCACACGCACACGCACACGCACACGCACACGCACACGCACACACGCGCACACACGCACACACGCACACACACACACACACACGGGTTTCGCGGTCGGGGCTTCGCGCGCGGTGACAAGGCGGAGAATGGTCGACCGGGGGCACACACACACATACACACACCACACAGACACACGACACGCCACACACACACACGCACACACACACACACACACACACACGCACCAAGCAAGCGCGCGCGGCAGGGCCGTCAAAACGGGAGCATACACACAGACATACGCACGCACGCACGCACGCACGCACGCGCACGCGCCCGCGCACAGAGACACGGACACAGACACTGAGATGATAGAGAAAGACACAGACACAGACACAGACACAGACACGCATAAACACAGACAAACACACACACACACACACTCACGCATGCACGCCCGCACGCACGCGCACGCGCACGCGAAACGCACACCCCCCATGTCGTGTCCTCCCTTTTCGGAGCTGAACCGGATTTTGAGCTCGAGTTAAACGACGACTGCTCCGCACGGTTCGACGTCAACTGGCTCTGGGCTAGCTATGATATGCTTAGGCAGCTCGAGCTTAAGATCCATATCAGTTCGGTCAGGACTCAGATGCCAAGGAGGACTCGAGCCACACCACTATAGAGCGCGTGAAACCATGTTGATTCCTAACTCTCCAGGGCGGGACAAGCGTGAAAACACGTGGGTTCCTAACGCCCCAGAGCGGGACAAGCGTGGACACACGTGGGTTCCGACTGCCACAAAACGAGGCAAGAATGAAAACACATGGGCCCCGAACGCCCCACGACGCGACAATCGTGAACACACATGGGGTCCTGACGCCCCAGAGCTGCACAAGCGTGACAACACCTGGGTTATGAACGCTCCAGAGCGGGACAAACATGAAACCATGTGGGTCCCTAACTCCCCAGGGTGGAAAAGTGTGAACACATATGGGCTCCTAACGCCCCAGAATGGGACAAGCGTGAAAACACATGGTTCCTAACTAACGCCCCAGAGCGGGACCATCGTGTAAACGTGGGCTCTTAACGCCCCAAGGCGGGACAAGCGTGAAATCACGTGGGCTCCTGACGCCCCACAGCGGGACGGCGTATGCCCCTCCCCCCTTCGGCACGTCCCTGGCTCGTCCTCTGTCGCGTTCCCTGGCTTGTCCCCTGGAGCTTTCCCTGCCCTTTCCGTGGCGCGTCCCTTGCCACGTCCCCTCACACGTCCCCAGGCGCATCCCCAGTGTGCCCCTGGCACACTCCGTGGCGCGTCCATGCGCCCTGCGCCCTGTGTCGTCTCGTCCCGCTTCGGGGCTGATTCGGATCTTGAGCTCGAGCTGATTGAGCGTCCCACACGTTTCCACTTCAACCAGCCCTGGGCCAGCTAACTGCGCTCAGGCAGCTCGAGCTTCAGATCCAGATCAATTCGGTCAGGATTCGGATGCCAAGGGCATCTGGATCCACAACACTATAGAGCACAACGCAATTCACATCTCATTTCCGCACGGCAGAGCACAGCGCAATCTCTGGCACGGTACACCACGATCGATACCTTCAGCATTGCAATTGCTTGTCGCGAACCAGGTGTCTTGAGAACGTAGCCATGCCTCGCGCTTCCAAATTCCTTTCTGGGTTCGTGGGTCGATCATATTTCGTAGGGGGAGGGGTCAGGCATAGTTTTGGTTTCAATTGCAGGTCCCTGGAGTCCCCCGAACCAAGACATACTAAACCCAGAGTTGGGCGGTTGCTCGGGGGGTCCCCCCGGAAACACACCCGAAAACCCACTGAGAAACAGCGACAACACCATCAACAGACCGTATACCAAAAAACCTTGAACAACAGAATCCCGAGTGGGGGGCTCCCGTGGGGGGGTTTGGCGAGCTGCCGCAGCCTACGGGGAGGGTTGCCAGCGCACTGTCAAAACAACACTTTCTGCCTTGGAGGTCGCTGGGGGGGCAGCGTTGTTTCCAGGGCCACATCCCAGTACGCTCGGCCGGCGCACTTGATCCGTCAGTCGCAGTCCCTACGACCCCCACTCGCGAGAAGCTCGGATCTGAGGCCTGCTCTGAACGATGACTGGGGCTGCTTGGGCTTGCTCTTACCCTGCGAGCATTGCCCCCCTCCTCCGCCGCCGCCAAAACACAGGCCGTGCTCGCTGCCACTCCGCGAGCTTCCATTGCTGACCACGTCCCAGCTCCAAGCCCGCATCGACGTCTCGAGCCGTTCCCAGCCAACCGCCCCGCGGAGCGCAGCGACACTGCCCGCCTGCAGGGGCACGGCGTGCCGCGACACGGTGGGCAAGCACTGCCGAACACGACTGCCTGCTTCGCTGCGCGCGCGCTTCGTCACCAAGGCCTGCCCACGGGGACGGGAAGCACCATCTCCTCCCAGAGGACGCAGGGCGCAGGATCGCGGGCTGGTCCTGTCTCGGGGCCCTGGCTTCCCCGAGGCTGTCCCGAGGCGCCCCTGGGCTCTCGGGGCCCCCCTGGGGGCCTCGTGGGGCCCGTGGTTCTGTGGGCTTCTGGTGGAGTGCCTGGGGGCCTTGGGACCGCCTTGGAGCGGTCCTTGGGCCGTTCGGGAGCCGTCTGGGAGCCGCCTGGGAGCTGCAGACATCTCCCGCTCGCGAGTGGGGGAATCGGAGGGGGTCACGTGGGGGGATGCTTCGTCTGGGCCCACGCAGGACGTTGGCGGCTTCGCAGCCGCGGCCCCCCGGCGCCTTGACGTGCTTCTCGATGTTGTGAATGTTTGAGTCGTCGTTGCAGCCCATCCGGGTCTCGTAGGCGAAGTTCAGGGATGTGTTGCAGAACTCCGCGATCTCAAGGGCGTGGCAGTGACAGATAGACAGAGAACCAACGCCCGGCACACTGTCTCCCTCATGGCATCCCAGACAGCGCTGCGCGGCACGACACCGAACGGCCGACTCGGATTCGACCACCGCCCCGGCTGTCGCAGAATACCACGCCGCACTGCAGAGCCTCTCGCTCATGACTCATTACCAGAATTCGCGCATCGCGCACCGCGATGAGGCTTCTTTTTCCCGGAAAGGGCTTAGGCCCAGGTTTCTCTTTTAGTAGGTAAACCTGTCCCCGGGGCCAATTCTGAAGGGGGCCGGCGGATTTCCGCTTTATGAAAAACTATGTAAATTCCACTTCGGCGTGGGGAATAAACGTTTCGCGCGTGCCCGCTCGAAGAAAGTGCGCCGCCCATCTCGGATCCTCCATAAATAACGGGGTCCGTGGACCCCCGCTTCCCCTCGTTAAAAAAATGGTGCGAGGCATTTTAAACAGAATCCTCGGGACAAAAAAAAATTGAGCCCCGACCAGGGCACAACAAATATGAAAATGCTGACTTTTTGCGTACCCGCTCGAGGATGTCGCGCCCTGCGCGCAAGAGTTTTTTGGGATGTCTCTAGCGAAACGCTCGTTTCCCAAAATTTGACGGGCCTGGGCGCTCCAGGGCCAAGTTCGAAGAGGGCCAGCAAATGTCTTTTGCGATAAATGACGAGGTCGAGGAGGGCCGGCGAATCAAATTTGAAGGATGTCCCGAGCGAAACCTTGATTTATATACATGTGCTGAGGATGTCTCGAGCGAGACGCTCGTTTTGTGTTGTAGATTGTCCTCTCCTGGGGACCAGAAATCAAAGGATCTCTCAAGTGAAATGCTTGTTTTCACGTGCCCAGGTCTTGAGGATGTCTCCAGCGGGACGTTTGGTATCATGCGTCCAGGTTGCCCAGGCAAATGTCTAGCACGAGGATGTGTTGAGGATGTCTCGAGGGTGACGCTTGTTTTCACGCGTCCAGGTTGCCCAGACGGATGTATAGCATGAAGAAACGTTGAGGATCTCGATCGAGACGCTTCTTTGCACGTGTCCACGTTGCCCAGGCGGATGCCTAGCATGAGG